ACCTGATGAAGTTCAACAAGGGCAAGTGTCAGGTGCTGCACCTGGGGAGGTTGAACCCCATGCACCAGTACAGGCTGAGGGCTGACCTGCTGGAAAGCAGCTCTGCTGAGAGGGACCTGGGAGTCCTGGTAGACGACAAGCTGACCATGAGCCAGCAGTGTGCCCTTGTTGCCGAGAAGGCCAATGGTATCCTGGGGTGTATTAAGAGGAGTGTGGCCAGCAGGTGGAGGGAGGTTCTCCTCCCCCTCTACTCTGCCCTGGTGAGACCCCACCTGGAGTACTGTGTCCAGTTCTGGGCTCCCCAGTTCAAGAAAGATGAGGAACTCCTAGAAAGAGTCCAGAGGAGAGCAACTAGGATGATAAAGGGACTGGAGCACCTCCCCTACGAGGAAAGGCTGAGAGAGTTGGGCTTGTTCAGCCTGAAGAAGAGAAGAATGAGAGGGGACCTTATCAACACGTACAAATATCTTAAGGGCGGAAGTCACGAGGATGGAAGCAGTCTGTTTGCAGTGGTGTCCAGCAACAGGACTAGGGGCAATGGGTGCAAACTGAAACATAAAGAGGTTTCAGTTGAATATGAGGAAAAACTTCTTTACTCTAAGGGTGACAGAGCACTGGAACAGGCTGCCCAGGGAGGTTGTGGAGTCTCCTTCTCTGGAGATATTCAAAGCCCGCCTGGACAAAGTCCTGTGTAACATGCTCTAGGAGAGCCTGCTTTAGCAGGGGGGTTGGACTAGATGATCTCCCGAGGTCCCTTCCAACCCTTGCGATTCTGTGATTCTGTGATTTGGCACTTCCAAGAATACTGTATTTCCTTTCTGAAACCTAGCATTTCTGTTTGCTCACCTACACCTTAGACTGATCTTCTACCTTCTCCCCAGGTACTCCACAATTTACACGATGTTTCCAGTGTTTTCTCTAGTCCTGGACAAGGATGTTAAATCTGAAGTTGCAATGTTGTACCCAGAGCTCTACAAAGATCTTCTTAAGGTGTGGGAGACTCTTGTTTGTCTATTTTTGTTTAAGGCGAGATCCCTGTCTTGGTTTGAAACTCTCTAAATGTGTAAAGTCAAATTTATTATCAGTGGATACAGAATCTTATCATGCGTTTTCAAGCAAAATTGTTTTAAAGGCAAATTTGAATTAACAGATACAACCAGATTTCCTGGCAGTTTGCTATTGAATGCTACATGAAATGCAATTTATTAAAAACGGCTGGGGAAATAGAAGTTCCATTCTGTGGGAAATTCTAAGGATTTAATATTACCGATTTGTTCCAAAATAAAGGGGAAAGAGAAATTGTCGGGGATTTGGCACTATCCTGAAGCCAGAAAAGGGGATGGGAGAAGGGATATGTTCATTTGCTGGAGGGAGGAGGTTAGCGCATAGTTTCGTGAATAGACATTTGCCTTGAGGATGATCTAAAGAGACCTAAAGGTTTGGTTGCTGTGCCATTTTTGTAGCTTTAGCATGAAAGGTCCTTCTCCTTAGACAAAGAAAACTTTATTTGATATTTACCATAAAAATATCAGGAAGGTAAATCTTGTCATCTTGTCTTGGGTTCTCCCCCCCCACCCCCCGGGAAATTTTTTGAATAACTGGGGTATGCAAACTGGGAACATCTTTCTTAATTGAAGGAAAGGGTGGACTGAGTCTTCAACAGATCCTTTCCCTCAAGGATTTCTGTTAAACAGATACTCTCAGAAGCAAAGCCTGTTTTTCCAACAGTCTGAATAAGTCTCCATCTGGTTTCACTTGTATGTTGTCTCTTATGTCATAAACCACTAATTCTCCAACCATCCTTAGGCCTGGTCTAAACATAGGGGTTTTTTTGTACTGGTATAGATGTGTTGGCTGGAGATGCTTTTTTTAAAACCTATCTGCCTTCAATATGATGGTGATTTGTGTGTGTGTGTGTGTCTAGAAATATAATATTAATATGTTCATATATATGTGTATACACACATCTTATATTTCACAGTACAGTGACTAAACTCATGAGACATCTTTGCATTGAATTAATCGTGTGTGCAGTGAGGAAGAGGTTGTGCTGTACTGTGCAAGCAGTGAGCTTCCACAGTCCCAGGCCTCCTTCGTGCATCATGAAAAATGAGAATAAAGAGACAGTACCTCAGGGTTGGTTGACTTGTTTTATTTTCTTCCCAAATCGCCTTCAAATTCTCTTTTATTAATTGCTGGGTTGATCTGTAAGTGAATGTTCATGAAAGAAAACCCAACTGAGCTCTGTGTGGTTTGTTTTTTTTTTTTTCTTCCCCCGCCTAGGGACGACCGTTATCATACAAAACATTTTTAATATGGGTCTTAATAAGCATCTATCAAGGTAAGAAATCAACTTCTGCTTGTGTTTCGATGTTTTAATGAGTACAGAATATCTAATTTTTTGTATTGCAGGAAGTTCAGTAAGGCATGAAGTGAATTTAGCAATGCATCCTTGGGATAATGAATAAATTATTTTTTTTTTTTTGTCTCAGAAAATGTTGGCAGCATTACCAAAGGAACAAATTATCTAAAACTAAATATTGGTAGCAACTGGTCAACCCTGTTGTAGGCAATGATGTAGAAGTTCAAAGCGTTGTGCCTCTTCCTATTGGGACCATCCTTTGTAATTTTGTGCAAGTTCCTTTCAGTGCTTTAATTGCTCCATCTGTAAAGTAGAGTTTGTGACTCTTCCCTTCTTTTGAAAAAGGTTTTCAAGCCTATGGATTATACAGGCTATTAAGTTGGCATGCAAAATGCAGAATCTGTAGCTTTGTGTATTTTATCTAAACCCTGCCTATTAGCGGTGGCGATAGTTCTGGTTACTTCATAGCCATCTGTCATGAAGGACTAGAGTAGAGCTCGAGCTCTTGATCATATCCCGTACATTCTAATTAGGCTGCTAAAACAGTTAAGCAAATGCCTTAATTACAATGTATGTATTTTCCAAAAGTGGATGTAGTAATTGGGGTATATGTCTAAGGTCTTTTCTTTCAATTTTTCTTTTTTTATAAAGTAACCTCAAACTCAAATGCTTTCTGTAAGTGTTAATCATGGAATCATGGAAAACATGTGAATAACGTGGAACTATAAAGCTAAGATGGCAGTATGATTCTGTGACAAAAATTCTTGTTTTTCAAAACTCCTTTATCAATAAGAGAATAAATGTGCCAAAATAAGCAGCTAATTCTTACTGATTTAATTGATACTACTATCCTCAGAAGGGAGTGAAACCAAGAATATAAAAGCTCTCTTGGCGTTATCTTCTGAAATCTAATACAGTAGGACCCTACAACAGGGATAATGGTCTTCTGACGCTGTGTAAATATGATGGCAAAGCCAAGGCATTTACAGAAAACTTACAAGTCGTGGAAGCTAAAGCCAGAGGGTGATGCACTGAGGGAAAGATTTCTTCTTGAGCTAAGACCGCTATCTGGTTACAATATTTGGTTAAAGTGACTTCACTTCTGATGTGCTCAATAACGAGAAAACAGCAGGCCAAACAATTGGGCTAGTTGCTAGCAGAGATGAGCCTGACCAAAAACTTGAGCAGTCCTAAATTTTGGAAAGTTCGCAGCTGGATTTGAACTTTGTGGCTCCAGCTCTAGTCACTTGCAGGTTTTCCCTTCCGAAACTAGCCTAGTGTGATGGATGTTGGTGCAGATTACTCATGCTGCTAACATGAGTTATTTGTGCAGGTGGCTGTGCGGGGCGTTGTGAGCATTCCCTGGCTGGCCAGAATAGGAGCACGAAACAATGCATCATTAACGGTGCTTTAATGTGTGCTCCTTTTAGGGGGAAGTGTAAAGGGGAGATCTTGGCCGAAGGAATGCAAAGAGAGGCTAACTTGTATCCACTGAACTTTTCAACACCTTGCTTTCATCTGGGCACTGAGGCAATGCAGTAGGGTTTAGAAGTATTGTGTATCTTTTAGCTTCTGACTAGCGACCAACTGCTTTTCTGGGAGGATAGAGTTTCGCGATGTTAGAAATCTCCAGTTGCCAAAATAGCATGTATTAATTTCCTATCTCCATGTGTCTATGAATATGACAGACTGTTATAAAAGTCTGGGCACCTCTGCTGTAACTTTTCCCCATCTTCTCATCAGTTCTGTCTCCTAAATAGTAACTGATGCGTTGTCATTACATTCATCAGGTTTCATGAAAAACAGCCTCAAGACATGACTATGTTTCAGCCTTTCCAAGACCTAGCAGTGGGTTTTAGAGCTTAGACTGGTGTTTGAATAAAATACCCAAATGTTCCATTCCCTTGCAGGTAGCATCATCATGTATGGAGCACTCCTCCTCTTTGAATCTGAATTTGTCCACATTGTCGCCATTTCCTTCACATCCTTGATTCTCACCGAGTTACTGATGGTGGCGTTGACAATCCAGACGTGGCACTGGCTCATGATAGTGGCTGAGCTGCTTAGTCTCTCCTGCTACATAGCTTCTCTGGTCTTCTTACATGAGTTTATTGGTAAGGTTAAATGCCTTTTCTCCAATCAGTTGGTTTATGACCCGGATAGTAACAGGACTGTAAGAACATGAATTGAGTTTAACATCTGTTGATGAAGCCAGCATAATTACAGTGGTTCTGACCAGAATAAGCTCTATTTGATTTGAAGGCACCTGAAAGATATCTTATGGTTCCTTCTCATAGCAAAATGCTAGAGGAGATAAAGGTGGTCAGTAAACTGTGCTGCTCAGTGAATCTCATCCTTACTTTCAGAGCTCCATCATGCATCAGCTGTCATGTAATAGCAGTCTTTATTTCCATATGAGAACTGAACTTGAGACTAAAAATTTGAGCCTCTTCTGTTGGGTTGAAAGATTTAATCCTTTTAACTGAGTGAAGTAGCTGCCTCCTAAAATTTCCTTTATCTACTACATTGGGACCCTTCTCTTGGGAGTTTGCGGGGGGTTGGGGTTGGGGTTTTGTTGTTGTTGTTTTGTTTTGTTTTGTTTTTTTCCTGGAACAGAGTTAATCTCTTCCCTGCATAAAGGGAAAAGGGTGAGGAACTCCAGATTTCCTCAGTAGCTGTCTAGTGGCAAATATCAGATCCGTAGGGTTTGTTCCCGTGTTCATTCAGGAACCACAAGATGTCACTACTTCTTCCATAAAGCTCTTTGTTAACTCTGAAGAGAAAGAGGGTAACTTCCCAATGGGCTAGATCTGTCTCTCTTGCATATGGGTGTACCAGCTCCATTTTGAATGATGCTTCAACTATTTTTGCAGTGAGTCTGAGGTATTATAACTGAGTTGAGAAATGTGTCTGCTGGACTCCCAGCAAAGTAGCAGAGGGCAACTTCCAGAGTCAGAAGACAAGTGGTCCATTTAAAGGAAGCTTAGTATTGCCAGGAGATGGATAGTCCCGGTTCAGATGGCGTGGGGGGGGCTGTGCGGAGCTGCATGCCTTACTGAAATGTGCTGTGCAGAAAGCTCTATCTTTTGTGGAAGAGAAGGGCAGAAGAGTGAGGAACCAGGGATCATACAAGCTTTGAACTTGGATGTGGAGAAGGTGAAGCTGTTTAAGAAGTGTTGGTAGATTGAATTGCTTTTCTGCACCTCTTCCCAGAGCGTGCTTCCCGTCTTCATTGACTCTGTGCTCTTCTCTTTTTACAGATGTTTACTTCATTGCAACTTTGTCGTTCTTGTGGAAAGTCACCGTCATCACTCTGGTGAGCTGCCTTCCCCTCTACGTCCTGAAGTACCTGAGACGAAGGTTTTCTCCCCCAAGCTATTCGAAGCTCACGTCCTAGGGCTGCTCTCCTTGCACACCAGAGACAAATATTGCACATAGCCGAGAGACAAAATCATGTAGTTGTTACTATAACGAATACGTCTGATATTTGCATAATGATCACATGGTAATCTCTTACGTGCTGCTTTATTGAAAAAAGACTTCACAACTGCCGTAAACAGAAACCTAACGATAAAAGGGAATTTTTTTTTGAGGGTGGAGGCACTTATTAGTTCATCCAGTTACTTTTGTTCAAGTTAACTGGGGTCAAATGCACATAACTGCGATGATGATGGGTTCCTCATGCATGGTTAAAAGTATCTGAAAGCTGCTAACTGACCTTGGAACTTATGTTTGACAAATTTAAATTACTTTTTTAAGTATCAGTGCTGTTCCTTGCATTGTGTTCTGTTGTTTTATATTATTTATCTTTCTGATTCAAGTAGTTACATTCTTTTCACATCTTGGAAATCCCTTAATGTAGGTGATGCACTATACTGGTGACAGCTGATTCCTGATTTATGGCATGCTGTTTCCATAATGGGGCTCCAGCATGTCGGATCTACACACACTTGAGAATCTGAGCGTGTTAGAGACTTCCCTTCAGTTGAAATGTGGTCACCCTAGTGATTTTGGAGGTATCCAGCCATTGATAAATACAGACAAATATAGTCCAAAATAAAAAAATTCAGTTTTGTTTAGCTTTTGTGCTTCCTATTAAAAGGAGCTGGCAACATAATAGCTTTACTCTGTATTTATTTGTATAGGAGAAAATTATCTAAACTAAAGCAAATCCTCTTTAGAAAAGAAATTCGCAGTTGATCAGACTTTGAAATGTGTCGACAACGTGAGAAGAGACTCGTACTGTTCTGCAGACAATGTGGCAGACGTGTCTTGAATCCTTGGAGACTAAAGGGAAAGGTCACAGAGCTGCTACTCCTCACAGCTACACGAAATCTGTTTCCTGTTAGGGTGAAACTGCGAAGATGAGCTGCAATTAAACGGAGGCACTCCTAGGTGGATGTTGTTCATGACACGCTCCCTGCAGAGAGGCAGTTTTTGAGAACCTTGCACTTGCTTTGCTCTGAAAGCCAAACCTGAATCACAGAGGCAGGAGTGGGGTTTGCATGAAGGCGTTAGGCTCATGTGCAGAGCAAATTTACTTATTGATTTTTAATTTTCAAAAATAAAACTCAATGGATTCTGTTTTTATAATAAACATTGGCCCACACTATAACACCCTGAAGAGAGCAACACGTCCAGAGGCTGCTCAGGAGAATGACAGAGGGTTAGAGGAATGTTTTACTCTTGGGTCCATGCATCAAACATGGATGAGCTTTTAGCAGCAGCCATCCTCATCTGGTGACTGTGCTAAATTAGTTGCTTGCTGTCTCATTCTCACATCATAAAAACCACTGTCGGAGCTGGCACTGCTTGGCATCATTGTTGGTTGGGCATGTGGGGAGACCAGGAACAGCCCGGAGCCTGAGCTCCCTCTTCCTCTCTCAAAGCAGCCCTTCCAGGTCGGGGCAACCCTACAGTGTGAGGAGCAGAAGCTCCCTGGTCATCTCTGTGCCATGCTGAACCTCTTTAATGGACTGCCAGCTTCTGTTGCCATTGCTACAGGCGCTCCAGTGTTGCAAGCAGCACAATGCTGCATTAAAAGGTCTGGTGTGAAAATCTGTGGAAAATGGGAGTGTTGTTTTAGAAGAGCTGGAGTCTGTGTTGACCCATAGCGGTACATCTTGAATTTTTAGATCTAAGATAGCCGTGGCTTGTGTGGTCGATGTGTGGTAATTGCTCAGGGGAATGTTTTGCACAACCTGTCCTGCCTTCCTTGCTTTCAGTTCCTGTGAGTAAATATCAAAGAGGAGGGGAAGCAAGTTCCAGAAGATAGAAAGAAAAATTGGGTGTGCTTCATAATGCGTGTGGCTTGGGGTGAGTGAAAGGTGCAAGTCTGTATGACCTCGTCATTACTTCATGTTGGGGAAACACTCTTGATTTAGAAAATTATGTTTCAAAGTCCTTCAGGAATAAAAACAGCAAACGCTCTCTTATCTAACACACGCCTTTTTCTTTTGTGCCAGTCTTCAGATTAGGCTCTTGTCTGAAGTCCTGATAAATAGCAACCATCTTTAGAAACATCCTACTGACTAAGGAAAGATAATTCCTAGTATTCACCTTTCCATAGTATTTTGAAAATTTGCCTTTCTTTACTTCTCTTCTAATTTTTTAAAAAAAAAAAAAAATAAATTTCTGCCCATTTGACACACATGCTGATGTTGGGAAAGGTTCTAGAAGTCCACCACTTCCCAGTGATCTGTCTCACAGAGGAAAAGCAGTGCCTGAGCAGCCTATTTGTGGAGGAGTTGGGCTAACAGCCTTTTGTGAATTCTGCCACTTGCCAAAAAGATACTTAGTGTTGTCTTTATCGTGACTGCTACAGCTCCTGGATAGTGTTGGCCATGCAGGTGTTCTGAAGTCCCCAGTCAGCATTTGATTTCAGTAGATCTAAAGACAAGAATCAAGAATTTCTTTTGGCAAGTTCTTGTGACCAAGGAGTCAAGTCCTTCTTGTCCGTTGGCAAACACATCGCGGTACCCATCTTTGTAAAGCCCTGCCCCTATCTAGTGTGTATTAGTGGTTAAATGTCCTGCAAGAATAACAGTGCCATGCTACTGTATGTAAATATTTGAGACGTATATATGGTAGAATTCACTGTTTCCTGAAGTCAATACAGTTTACACTGAGTGGACCATATTTGCAAAATACTAGCTTACACCAAGAAAGGGAGTGAATTGTGATTTCGGTTATATCTATTGAATCATAACTTTACTAAGGAATGCATATTTAGTGGCATTGATAGTAATCTGTAGCTGTGTTTTGGGGTGTGAATTATGTTCCTTTGCAGCCAGTTTTTTTGCACAAGGTTGTAAATCCAGGAAGTAATTTCTGTCTGGGTATACACTACATTTTTTTTAAAGGAATCAGAAAATTAAAGCTGCCATCTAACAAACAGCAGGAAAGAGGAACGATTGTTGTATTTTTCAAGTTTAGCACTTTATGTCTGCAATCTATTTCCCTTAAGTTATTTAAAAATGTTTTTTTAAAACAAGGTTTAATACATATGTTCATACTTATTATACATTGAATAAATGGGTTCTCTGCTGGAAATTTAATTAATCTTTTTCCTCTAGTATGCTCATAAATTGTGCTTATTAGGAGCGAAGCGTTGTTTTTTTCTTCTATGTAGTATCTTGTTTGTAGCCTTACTTAGTGTTCTTCCTATTCCTTTTTATTTTTTTGTTCTGGTTTCTGCACTGTAGCAGTTCCTACCGCTTGTGTGCTTTGGGACCGTGCTCCCAGTGATGCTGCAGGGTAGCAGTGTGTGTCTCACAGCATGCTCTTGCTTCCCCTGGCTGCCGTAGGGAAGCCAACGCTCTGTGCCGTGCTGCTGCCGTGGTTTGTTAGCGTGGAGGCTGTGCGACATGCACTGTTCTCTTCTTGCATCTCTGCAGTAATTCCAGGCGTGTCGCAACCCTCTTCTTTTTTTTTTTTTTTTTTTCTTTAACACTGTATTTGTTTCCTCCACAGAGCTTGTCCTATTTATCTTTGCAACCATTTGTTTTGCTCAGCTCATAGTGCAATTGAAATGCGACATTCTTTATTCAACAGCAGCAGCTTAAATCTGTGCAGGGTCTTATCAGAACTGGGCTGGGGAGTGATGAGTGACATCCCTGGTGTCTCCTCGGTGTTGAGAACTGCGTGCTGAGAGCTACAGCTGTGGCTGGACCAAACTGAGCAGCACCAAAGGCGTTATTTTTCTGTGGTCTACTCAACTATCGCAATTAAACGCCGTGGCAGCTTCTCTCATCCTCTGCAACTGCTGAGGAAAATTTTGCTGTAGTTGAGCTGAGTTTGTCAGGGAGCCCCAGAGTCAGATAGGCGAATGCCTAAAGCTTGGCTTTGGGCTTTATCTTTTGAAGAAAGCTGCTGCACCACCTGACGCATCATAAATCCTTGGTTTGCACAAGCAGTGCTCTAAACCAGGTACGTGAACTACTACTGCATGCAGCTCACCGTCACATGTTCTTCACATGCAACCGTTGGGATGGGGTTTGGCTCATCTCCACAGATGCTGGGGCCAGTCCGGTGCCCGCTAAAATCTTCAGCGTGAGCTGGATGGGCTTTTTTTTGTTTTATTTATTATTAGTTATGTCGTAATTAATAAACTCTTTGATTTGCATGAAATCCTGGGTTCTACAGCTTTGCCAATATGGTCCATTACTACTGCCTACTACAACTTGTGTACTTATATGCCTTTGAGAACATTTTTAATTGTTAAAATTGTTAAAAAAAATGTTAATTTAATTTTTAATTGGGAAAATGAATTCTGGTGTCAAAATGGTATTTACTGTGATGCCAATGTTTTGTACCTGTCATCTAGTTAAACAACGTGTAAATACTCTTCATTCAAGAGAAATATGAATGCCAATTATTTATTGTTCTGTGGAGTTATATGTTGCAGATGTGTAAAAACTTAAAAGGGAATGTTGTAAAACAAGGTGGAAAAATAAATTTTATGCAACTTCTTTACTTCATCCATATAGACCTTGTATGATGCACCTGAGTTAGTCTTGGCATGATCGGTCCAAGATGTGTTTTGACAGAATTGTAAGTACGTAGGTTAAGTCGCACTGTGGCCCTTTAAGTTGTCTGAGTGAGAAATGCTTATCTGAGAAATGGGCAGTACTTTCTGCTGGTTGGTGTAGACCTGCTTCATTAATTTCTTTCTTATAAACAGTTTTCTAACAGCCTTAACAAGAAGGGTTTTTTTTTCTTGGGGGGTGGTGATTGTTGATTTTTTTTTTTTTTTTTTTTTTTTTTTAAGTATTGGTGTAAGCTTTTGCTGCCCTTCACTTTGCCAGTGACTTCTTGCAAGATTGCTTTCTGCAAGTTGCCATTGCAATTTAGTGGTGTGGTTTAGCTTGGTGTGGAGCGCAGAAGCTGCTACTGGCCCTGCTGCTGTCCTGCACCGCTCCGGCTCGCCCAGGCGAGAGGACCTGGCTGCTGTGACTGCCGGCTGGAACTTCAGCCCTAGGCTGCTGCTTCACTCCTGCCTTTTCTACAACCAGTTAGTCCCAGAGTACCCAATACAGTCCCAAGTATTTTAAACAAGCCCTGTAATTTGTAAATTCAGTTTCAAGAGACTCAGCTCATCCAGGAAGATTCTGGTCAAATCATCCTCGCAATTTTTGGTGCAACCCCACTTAGGGAGAAGGTGGTTGTTCCTGCTGGTACCCACTGCTGTCAGTTAGGAGAAAGTCTTTCATTTGGAATATATATATTGCTGCCCTTGGAAAAGCAGTGATGCAATAGCATTAGGAACAGCTATTTCTGGAATGTTCTCATCACTTGAATGTCAGCTTAAGTAACTGGCTCGGCACAACAGTGGTCCCGTGGCTGGGGCTGGCTGCCCCGCTGCGGGGTCAGAAACGGGAGGGAGAGGCAGGAGCTTAACACTGGATGATCTCCGCAGGGGAAACGTTGATAACATTGCTTAAGAATACAGTATGACAGTATGCTATGAAAAACTTAATAGAGCCATAAACACTCAAAAAAAAAAAAAATTGAATAAAGCAAATCTCTAACTTGGGAGGCTATTGCGCTCAAGCAGCGATAAACTATCCTTCAGATAATCAAACACTTATTAAAGATTTTCTTTCAGATTCTATAGGATGCAAATGCCAGCATCTTAACCTTTTTCATGATTAACTTTTTTTTGTATAGAATAGTTAATGCAAATATTAAATAAACAATTTTTGCGATGTTTGCAGACATCAAATGAATGCTGTAGACTCCAGAAATTACAGTAACAGACTTCACTTCCAAGTGTTACCAATTTCCCACTCTAAATGGGTTACATAAGCCCTAGTTAGTGGTTCTTTTAATTTATGGACGGTTTCTTTTTAATGGTGAAATGTGTAATTAAAAAAAGCTAGAAATAGTTTTTCTAAACTCACTCTGGAAAGGGAAGGAGAATTTCTGCAATTTTTTTTTTCACCCAAACATTGCATAATAGTAGAAATGTCAAAGATTTCCATGGGGTTTAATTTCATTCTTCATGTGGCTGTGGTCATACAAGAAGTTTGAACACTGCAGGGGTTGGCAGATTTTTGGAAGATCACGCATCCTGGGATAAGTTTTCAGCCTAGGCTTTACCAAAGAATGCCTGGCCTTATTTTTCGAATTGTGGTTGTATTATACACTAGTGTGTCTTATTTTCTTTTTTCTTCTAAAAGAAAAAAAAAAATGAAAATGAGAAACAAACTTAATAAACGTTAAATAAAAAGAAACAGTCAAAATGCCTGTTTTCACACATGTGGATATAGCAGTTAAATCAGCCAACATACACTCAGCAATTCTGATATTTTCATGGCTTTACTTATAAAACCTTTGCAAAATAGAACACATTTAGAAATTTGATTGAAGGTATAACTTACTACCTTACAAACTTTGATATTACCAGAATCAGTCTTTGCTATGACCACAAATCTTTCAAACTACTGAATGCAGCTACCAAGATGAACGTTGGTACAATAGAAGAACCTGGCTTACTTACTCTCCAGGGAGAACTTTGTCCTTAACTACCTCACTACTCAGTGAGGGTGCATGCTAGATTATTCCATGACATCTATATCCCATTAAAGCTTAAGGTCTGTTTGTGACTATAATACTAACTTCTAAAATGATAATTTGGTATCTCTTGATTTGATTTTTGGTTTGGGGGGTTTTTTTGGGTTTTGTTTGGGGGTTTTTTTGGGTTTGTTTTTTTTTTTTTTTTTTTTGGGGGGGGGGTGTTTTTTGTTTTTTTTTTTTTTTTTTTTTTTTTTTTAAGTATTGGTGTAAGCTTTTGCTGCCCTTCACTTTGCCAGTGACTTCTTGCAAGATTGCTTTCTGCAAGTTGCCATTGCAATTTAGTGGTGTGGTTTAGCTTGGTGTGGAGCGCAGAAGCTGCTACTGGCCCTGCTGCTGTCCTGCACCGCTCCGGCTCGCCCAGGCGAGAGGACCTGGCTGCTGTGACTGCCGGCTGGAACTTCAGCCCTAGGCTGCTGCTTCACTCCTGCCTTTTCTACAACCAGTTAGTCCCAGAGTACCCAATACAGTCCCAAGTATTTTAAACAAGCCCTGTAATTTGTAAATTCAGTTTCAAGAGACTCAGCTCATCCAGGAAGATTCTGGTCAAATCATCCTCGCAATTTTTGGTGCAACCCCACTTAGGGAGAAGGTGGTTGTTCCTGCTGGTACCCACTGCTGTCAGTTAGGAGAAAGTCTTTCATTTGGAATATATATATTGCTGCCCTTGGAAAAGCAGTGATGCAATAGCATTAGGAACAGCTATTTCTGGAATGTTCTCATCACTTGAATGTCAGCTTAAGTAACTGGCTCGGCACAACAGTGGTCCCGTGGCTGGGGCTGGCTGCCCCGCTGCGGGGTCAGAAACGGGAGGGAGAGGCAGGAGCTTAACACTGGATGATCTCCGCAGGGGAAACGTTGATAACATTGCTTAAGAATACAGTATGACAGTATGCTATGAAAAACTTAATAGAGCCATAAACACTCAAAAAAAAAAAAAATTGAATAAAGCAAATCTCTAACTTGGGAGGCTATTGCGCTCAAGCAGCGATAAACTATCCTTCAGATAATCAAACACTTATTAAAGATTTTCTTTCAGATTCTATAGGATGCAAATGCCAGCATCTTAACCTTTTTCATGATTAACTTTTTTTTGTATAGAATAGTTAATGCAAATATTAAATAAACAATTTTTGCGATGTTTGCAGACATCAAATGAATGCTGTAGACTCCAGAAATTACAGTAACAGACTTCACTTCCAAGTGTTACCAATTTCCCACTCTAAATGGGTTACATAAGCCCTAGTTAGTGGTTCTTTTAATTTATGGACGGTTTCTTTTTAATGGTGAAATGTGTAATTAAAA